TTGCTGGTGTGCAAATTTACTCTTGCGATGAATTCCCCTTTTTTTTCCTCCCACTTACATTATGAACATTTGGAAAAAAAAAAAACCCGCCCCCAAATCCAGTGTGTAGTTTTCCTCCCCCCCTGTTTTATAAAATTTGTGTTTAGAAAATTTAAGGTAAATTTTGATAAATAATTTATAACTCAATAGCTAGCTGCCCTTGGTCACCTATATGGAGACTCAGAAATAAAACAGAATTAGGCTTGGTCAGAGGAAAAACAAACAAGACTGCAGAAAAACCCCTCAAGAAGCTGGTGTCAGAATAAACTATGAAATGCACGTGTGAAATGACTTGACTTAGGAGTGATATCCCAATATTGTGACAAGCCAAGTTAGCCAGCAAGTCTTAATTAATTTTGATTCTTGGGTGTCTTGCGTAGCTCTTCCTCCAAAAAAAAAAAAATCATAAATAAAGAAATAATAGAATTGCTGAACTGTATCTCATCGCAAACATTGCAAAATTGTGTTGGTTGGGTTTGTTTTGGTTTCTGAATATAGTTGCCCATGTTTTAGAACAATCAAGAAGCAAAGGTAGTTTGCATGGTGTGTCTCACGGACTGACTTCCTTTTGGCTAGAATGATCTGCCATGTGTATTTCCTTCATGATCTTGGAAAGGGGAAATATAGCTTGTTGCCAACTCTGCATTCGGGGTGTTAGAGGAGGGCCACCTCTTTTAGGCTCAATAAAAGCAGTCCATGTGACTTTGCCCAAATCTCAGGGGCTTTGATCATGCACACCTTTGAAGGAAAACGCAATTGAGGGAGGCTTTCATAGTTCATCATAGTCCATAAATTTTAATTTAAAACTTTGCCACCTGGTTCAAACCATGTTGTATATAATAAGCTGAGATAGCGTATGCTTGCAATTCGGAATTTTATCTAACAGATAAAGAAAATCCCTTCTGATATCATGTTGTTATCGTCATAGTGTAAAATTTAAGAAAAAAAAACTTGTTAATGAGATGGAAAAGATCTTCAAAATAAACATAAGCCACACTGGATTTATCTCGAGTAGCTAGTATGTGTTTATATAATGCTGTTTTTTTTTCTCTATTATATCTAATCTTCTGTAGGGATCCTGTATCAGAACTGCAAACATCTGAATGAATACAATTTCTTTGTTGCCATCAAGTGGTTGTCTGGATTTATACAACCCAGATATGGTAGACCAAATAGTTAAACACATTCATCTTCTTGACATATATAATTGTTCAGGAATGCCGCCCAGGGTTATTTTGAATAGTGACATTGACAGCATATAAATTTAATGTCAATAAAATAATATAAAATAAATGTATGGATTCTCAACTATCTTAGTTTAAGGAAACAAGGATTCATAAAGTCTCAGTGCTCAGAGGAGTCCATGGTTTATTGAGTCCAGAAATCTGTATTAAAGTATCCCAGATACTTTCTAATTTCTGCCTGGATCCATCCAATGAAGAGGGAAGTCTAAACTCGTTGGTTCCACTGCTCTTACTACTAGAAGATTTTTCCTCCCACTCATCTAGAACCTGCTGTTCTATAACATGTCTTCTGTTCTTTGTCCAGTAGTTGGGTCAGAAAGTCATTTTGCCAGTTTTGAAACTCTGTCACATTTTGCCAAATATTTGTTATGGATCAAGTGCCATCCCAAGATAATTTTCACAAAATACAGTGGCTAAACCAGGGATCCTCTATCTTATACCTGTGTTTTAAAATAATTTTGTCCTAAATTTAATTCTGCTATGTTAGGTCATTTCTCTAACCTATCAAGATCATTAAGAATTTCATTTCTGCCTTTTAGAGAATTAGCTGTTCTGCCCAGTTCTTTATCATCTTTATTTTTTTTAAAAAAAAACCTTTCTTATATAGTACCCAGAGGTGGTTAGTTCTGCATTTGTTTCCAGAACCTATACTGGGGTTCTCCTTTAAGGTTGTCCTCCTTTGGGAGGACCTGTTTCCTGGGGTCCGGTCTGTCCAAGTGATGTCCATTCTCCCATATGAAGAGATAAAGAGATGTATGGCTGCTCTAAAAGGGACGCTGTGGCTCAGTGGCTAAGACACTGAGCTTGTCGATCAGAAAGGGCAGCAGTTCAGCGGTTCGAATCCCCAGTGCTGCGTCACAGAGTGAGCTCCCGTTCCTTGTCCCAGCTTCTGCCAACCTAGCAGTTTGAAAGCACGTAAAAAATGCAAGTAATAAAATAGGGACCCCTTTGGTGGGGAGGGAACAGCGTTCCGTGCGTCTTTGGTGTTTAGTCATGCCAGCCACATGACCATGGAGACGTCTTCGGACAGCGCTGGCTCTTCGGCTTTGTAACAGAGATGAGCACTGCCCCCTAGAGCCAGAAACGACTGGCACGGATGTGCGACGGGAACCTTTACCTTACCGCTCTCTGCTGTAATATTTTTGTCTTCCCTACACAAGAAGTACATGACTTGTGCTTTCCTGCCTATGTCTTCTGTGCTGCTGACAGTCAGGAGATCAACATGCCCTGAGCCTTGCAATCACCCATCCATCTTCTCCCCCATCAGCTGGCAGGGTTGTTTCTTCTCACCCTGGGCTTCTGTTCACAGGTCAGATAATTATGAACTGTTGGCTCAGACAGAAATTCTGTAGAGTTGCTTGCTCTCGGCTGACCTCTCTTCTGCAGCTGAGCCTCTGTTTTGCTCACTCTGTGGATGCTGCAATAAATTGTATTTCCCTAGTAAGAGACTTTCATCCAGGCTTCCGATCAATCAGAAGTCTGGAGTAACATCCGTTAGAATGCCGTATTTTCTTACTACCAATAGCCCTCAACTTACTACCGGCTGCTCAGTGACTGTTAGTGCCAGGCATAGAATCAAGATCATGTGAAGTATTAGCACTGCTTTATAAAGTAAGACCACACCTGGAATACTGCAACCAATTTTGGTCAACATAACTGCAAAAAAGATGTAAAGACTTTGGAAAAAGTTCAAAGAAGAGCAACTCAGAAGACAAAAGGCCTGGAGACTAAAACATACGAAGAACGGCTGCAGGATTGGGTAGTCTAAAGTAAAGAAGAATTAGGAGTATTCCAGTATTTGAGGGGCTGCCACAAAGAAGAGGGGATCAGATTCTTGTCCAAAGCACCAGCAATGCTGTACAAGGAAATACTTGGCAAGGAGTCTGTGAGAGTCATAAACAAATCTTCACACTCATTAAACGAACTAATTGTCTCCTGCAAGCACCACTCCCGAGTCAACCCTTGTTCCTTAACTGTTCCTTTCTCCTGGCAGCTCTGTGGATGCGCACACTGGGAACAGGCTCCAGCTGTTCATCTGCCCCACCAATCTCTGACTCCAAAGGCAGCTGATAACTGTCAGACAGCCCTGGTCCCATCTCTGCCTCCGATGCAGAGCCCTTGTCAGAGTCTTCCCCAGACTCCAGGACTGGCCCATGTTCTTCCCCAACCTCCTCACTGTCTGATTCTGCTGCCAACTTCACTGGGCCACAACTAATAGATACCTGTCTGTCCAAGATTTTAGAGGCTTGGGCAGCTTCAGCAAACTTGAAGGAGGCAGTAATTTTCATTGGGAAGTCTTTGATTGCATATTTCAAATATCACTCATTTTCAGTATTTATGACATGGATCATTTTAATGCTCTCTAAAGCTTTTTGTTCAGATTTTCCATTAGAGAAAAAAGCTCCGCTGTTGAGTTTATTATTAAAAAAAGTATATTATTATCTGTACTCTTATCTTGAAATACCGTATATCAGTTTATCAAAGCAATTTAGGAAGCTTTTGCAGTAAGTCTACAAAATATCTTTAAGTAACACTCTAGATAAGAGTTAAGATCTGTGCTATAATCAAAGGATTCAGGATTCTTTAGAACTCTTATGGTAAAAAGGGTTTTCTTGAGAGCATAAATATATATTGGGAGAAGGGTGTAATCTGAACAGTGAGTGAGGCTGGTTAACTGATGCATGAATTTCCCTCTAAACCCACCTCAGTGGGCTATTAAAACAAAAACACATTACACTATACATTAAAAGATTTTATTTTGCCAATCAAAACCTTTCTACATTGTGTTGGAACAGCTTTAATACATTATTATGTACAACCACCTCTGGTGACAATGCTCAGCTCAACACTCACTTGAATCAAAAGTCCTTAAAGGAATTAGAAAAATCATTCAACGTTCTTTGATAATGAATTCTGGGTAGCTTTGGCCAGATTTATAGTCTATTAAAACACAAGATACTTTGGTTATTAGTTATCAGATTTAACCAGAGACAGTTAAACAGTGGAACGGCTTGCCTTCAGAATTGTTGGGTGCTCCATCATGGGAATGGGTCAACCCACCACAGCCAATTCACCGCAGCCAACTCAGCATGGCCAACTGGCCGCCGGACAACTTGCCATGGGACAATTTAACAATTCAATGTTGTTATTTAAAATAAATAAATAAAAATTATTTTAACGTTTGCCATTCACCTTTCATCCTTGTCCTTCCTTTTTTGCATCCCTTAATTATTCTATTCCACCATTTCTTTTGATATGAGTGTAACTCCTATCCCACAGTGAGTTGTCCCGCAGCAAGTTGCCCATGACGAGTTGGCTGAGTCGAATTTCATTTCTTTCATTAGAATGACATGGATGTTGTTTTCTATTTTAAGCATTGTTTATTTTGGTGTGTTTCAAACTAAATGAACGGCTGGTTTTGTTTTCCTGGAGCATTTGAATTTTAGGAGAATTATTGGTTTCATATCAGATGGGTAATAAACCATATGGCTGTTTTCCTAAAACATGACATCCCATTTTCGTTTCTTTGGACAATCTAAAGATTTAAATAATTTTAAAGCCATCGAAACGTAACTTAAGCTAAAGATCGCATCTGTTGAGTTTGATGTTAAAAGTGTTAATCCTTTGGTATAGTTTTGCCTTTAAAACAGTTTACGGTGTGACGGGCGTCTAGATGTCATTACAAATGTTTAATTTTTCCCTTCGCTTTAATTACAGTGGATGATCCAGTTCCCCCACAAAGCTGCAACCTTTTTTGGCTGTATCGGAACCGATAAATTTGGTGAGATCCTGAAAAGAAAAACGGAGGAAGCTCATGTGGATGCTCACTACTATGAACAAAGCGAAGAACCGACAGGAACCTGCGCTGCATGCATCACCAGTGATAACAGGTAGGCTATGTTCTCCTGAGACATGGAGTAGAGGAACAGAAGATACAGGAAGCCTATATTATGGCTTGCATTGTGGCAGAGGTCGTAACTAAATCTTACAGGCCTCATCACGAAGGCAGTGATTACCACCCCATTTTCATTTGGGGAAATAAGATTTCCATATCTCTGTTGTGACCTGTCGGCCACCGGCCCCTGCAGCAGCTGAATCAGATGAAGAGGAGGAGGAGGAGGAGTTGGTGGCGGTGTGGAAGCCAGAGTTAGCATCAAGGCAACCTGAGAGCTCCGAGGAGGAAGAGGGAATGGAACTGGAGAGAGAGAGAGAGGGAGGGATAGAGAGAGAGAGAGAAAGAGATGGATGGAGCCTGGGCCGTCTGTCAGCCCTCAGATGTAGAGTCAACAGCCCCCAGGTCTGGAAGTGGCTGATGAGGAAGTGGAGGAACAGCTGGATACAGTGCCTGATGCACGGATGTGCAGAAGGCATAGGAGAGGAGAGCAATGGAAATCTATGGGCCAGTCCTTGGGACAGAAGAGCCGCTGCTGCTAGCAAAGCCCCACCATAGCTCTGTCTTGCTCATGACTGCCTCCTAGGGAGACAATTGCTGGGAAGGACTGGCACAGAAGGCCAGTAAATCAAATTCCTAATTCGAGCCTCACCTTTTGGCTGGGTCTACACATAGCATAAACCCGTAGTGTGCTTGGCTTGATTTGGGTTCAGTGTAGCCGATGAGGCAAGCCATGGTTGATGATTTAGTGTGGTCTGCTCAACCTCTCATGGCATAATGTAATATGCAGATTTTGCTCTTTGGGTCATAATAGTGTTGCTTATAGCAGGATGGTCTGGGTCAGAAAATTGGTCTATATTTACAGGTGGGTTGGACAGCTTCAGACAAGTAAAAATATGAAAAGCAGCACCAGTACTTTAAAAATGGTAAAAAAAAAAAACCAAAACAACCATTATTGTAGAGAAAGGGTGTGGCTGGAAATTCCAGAGAGGGTAAAAGTTTATTTATTTATTTATATGGATTTATGTGGCTCCCAAAAATGCAACTCTGGGTGGCTAAACAGGAATTTTAATCATAAAATATTTGACCTATCCAGGGGTATTTGATTACGCAAAACATTTTTGTCCAAGGGTTGAAGAGAAGGAGATTATTATTTTTCTGCTCATGATTGGTGGCTCTAAAAGATATGAACTGGGATCCTTGACTCTATGGATAGGCCAGAGTTTTAGATTATTTTGAAAACAGTAGACATTGGTTAGGAATAAAGAAAGAAAGGCATACGTCTTGTTTTGTCAAAGGTACTTTTTAAAAACCATCCTATTAATTCCATTTAAGGAATGTCCCAGAGATTCTGTGCAGTAGGTAGTCAATTTTGACATTCAAGTTTATTGAAGGATTTAATTTAGAAATTGAAATCACTCAATGTTTCTCCTTAGCTTCCTTGCTATTGACACTGCGAATTACGTCTTTCTTTCTACGCTGCGTTTCAAAAGAACAAATTCATTTCCACTTGCTTTCATACTTCCCTGCACTTTCCATGATAAAATTAACTCTGCAGTTCTGTCTGTTCGGTTGTAGAAAAAGAGCTGTGATTATAAAATAAGGATAACAATACTTTCTTCATTATCTACATTATTTTTATACATTCATTTTTTTTTAATCAGCTCAAAGCAATGTTGAAAAGGTGGGCTTTCTCTCCTTGTTTGGGAAAGAGTTTATATATTGATTTTGGTGGGACAACAGTGGGCAGATTTCAGGTTTGAACATTTGCAAGGTGAGAACATTGATACAAGATAAAAATGTCTGTATGGATTTAGATAATTCAGATCACAGAAGATTAAAATCTTGATTGCATTTAACGTGTTCTATTTTGACAGCAGCACCAGGATCTTTGATGATTTTTCTTATTAATACGCTCCTCGAGATAACATAATTGTATTTCACCACCGTACCCAACGAGGCTTTTTTTCATTTGAATGACATTTATTTTTAAATGTTCATTGTAGGCTAAAATCCATCTCTGGCTTAACAGTTCAAACCAGAAACTGGGCAACGTTAAAACTTGTGGACTTCAACTTCCAGAATTCCCCAGCCCAGCATGGGGAATTCTGGGATTTGAAGTCCATAAGTCTTAAAGTTGCCAAGTTTGAAGACCCCCTAGTGTAAGCTGCATCGGTATAAACGTACATATAGGACAATACCTTAATGAAAAGAGCTGGGAGAATTTTTCAACCAGAATATGGAAGAACAGATTTTGAGTATCTCTTTTAAAAGCATAAACCTCCGGACATTAAATGAAGGCAGCTGCCTTGCGTAGAACATTGCTCCTTGTGACTAAATGGACGTGGCAGGGTTGTTTTCGTTGTGGTGGTTTTTTATTGCCTGCATTAATCTTCCTAATCTAACCTATAATTTTAGCGTTTCCTTGTCATCTTCCATGTTTAATTGTTTCAAGGTCATCTTTGTTCTGTCCCCTGCTACAGGCAAGTTAATCAAGTAAGGCCAGCAACAGAATTGTGCAGTGTAATTCTCCAACGTCTAATAAAAGGGGGGGAAATCATTCCTTTTCTTCTTTTTTTTCTTTTTTTCTTCTTTTCCCCTTCTTTTCCCACCCCTTTCTCTGTTCTAGTTAGAAAACCAGTTTGGGGCAGACTCACTGCCTTGCTGGTGAAGCCAGGATGACATCAAAGTGTCATTGTGTGTTTCCATCATTTTGCATGGATGTCATAATCATACAACATCAGTCCCTCTGCCCCTGCTACCTTTTTTATAATTATATGAGTGCAGGATGGGAAATGCAAAAACGCATCGTAACCCTCCCTTCCTATTAAAAGATTCTTGAAGATCACAGGGAAGGAAAATCCACCCTCGTAGATTTTTTTTTCCCCCATTCTCCCCCACTTATACCTTCTATTCTGGAAGCAAAATACTCAGGCTTTTCGATATTTTAACGCTTCCCCCACTTTTAACTGAAAAGCCCCTTATCTTTCCTCCAGTGTATCAGTCGCTGGGTGCTTTGCAGTATCCTATTTCACTTCCATACAGTATGAAGCACTCAGCCACCCAAATGGACTATTCGAGAAAACAACAATTAAATAACCACACTGGGATGAGTGTGCTTCTCAACCTGCTAATGCTTGTAGGTATTATACATTTAAAAAATATTATTTGAAAAATTGGGAGCGCAGCACAGAGCAGAAAGATTAGGTAGCACCTTAGAGTACATGGTATGGTCTCGGGTGGCATCCAATATATTTGTTGGTCAAATAATGAAGTGGTAGTAGGGAAATTATGGTTACTCTTTTGAGAGGATTAGAAAACTGACTTACTTTAATGATTTTTTTTTTAGGTCTCTGATTGCTAACTTGGCTGCTGCTAATTGCTATAAGAAGGAAAATCATCTTGATGTGGAGAAGAACTGGAAGCTGGTGGAAAAAGCTAAAGTTTATTATATTGCAGTAAGTGGACTGCAAAATGTTGCAAAACGTTCTCTTGCATTGAGACCTTGAATTTTTGGCGCCTAAATTACATTTCATGCAAACCAAAATCTTAGAAATGAAGGAGGGAAAACTGAAGTTTATGTTCTACTCTGCTTAATTGGTTTATATTTATGTTTTCTTGCACTCATTGTTCGAGCTGCCTGTTGACCTATTGGCTTGGGAAGAATCCATACATTGTTATTTTCCTGCTGTTTCCTAAATTAGTATTTGTTTCTGAACTACAGTATGGAATATTCTTGCTTTGTTTCTTGAATCCAGACAAAAGTGCTTTGGATAGAGATAAGAGAGGGATAAGAATAATGGATGTTCCTTCTTTCATAGAGCTATGCAAGAAAACATTTGTCCAGAATATTTTTATTCACTTTTCTACCGCAAGGCATCCGAAGAACTAAACAAAAATTAAACGTTGCAGAATTATTTTTCAAAAATAGAAAAAAAAACCCAGAAAATTTCAAAACTAATTAAAACCAGCATGATTACTTTTGAAGATTACTTTTATATTCAAGAAATGAGAAAAACAAAGTAAATACTTCTTCAGTCTCCTTTTTGAATTTCAAGTTGTATATATATTTTTTTTCCTTAACAAGATATTGCTCAACATAATTAGCAAATCTCAGCAATAGTGGGTCACCCTTTAGAAAGAAGACTATTAATTGGGAGCTTGGATCTTAGTGTGGGGAGTGGAGCCAATCTGTTTTTGGGGGTGTTTAGCTGATTGTGGTAGATTGTGCGTTTTACTTGCTTAGGTCTACATCCCAACATTTGGTCTAACAGGGAGAGGCTGATCTGACGATTAGCTAGTTCAGTTTCATCCAGTGAACTTTAGCAAGAGGGTAGGCAACTTGGAATGTATTATTACCTTTCTTGTCAGAATACAACATGTGTACAATGAGACTGGCTGAGCTTCCCTTCATGCGCGCACACACCCAACACAACTCACAGTGAGGACAGAAGTCCCTAACCCAGTCCCAATCTTGTTACACTAGGTGACCTTGTTACACAATGTGCTGGCCCCACAAGTCTGTCCTACTATGTTGACATGAAGTTATTTTCTGTTCAGAAGTCTGACAGCCCACGGGTAGAAACTGTTCTTCAGCCTGTTGGTGCGGCTGGCTAATGCTTCTCTATCTCCTACCCGATGGTAGGAGAGTGAAGAAAGGCTGACCGGAATGTGAGTCATGCCTGAGGATTTTCCTCACTCTTCTAAGGCAGCGAGCCCTAGTGAGGTCATCTGGTGGTATCAGGGAACAGCCCACGATGCTTTGTGCTGTGCTCAACCACCCTCTGTAGTGTCTTTCCACTCACAGCTATCAAGCCATCATACCACTCAGTCGTGCAATATGAGAGGACGCTTTCTATTGTGGACCAGTAAAAGGAGGTCATCAGTCATTGTTCCAAATTTGTAACCAAACGCTTCCCAAACCCAACAAGCAGGTATCAAGATCCTCGGTGGGGAGAGGGGGGAATAGACAACAAGGAGACCATGTGTTCTGACCCAAACCCTTGTCCAATAAAACCAACACAAACCAAAGGGAACAGAAACCTTTCAATGATTCTTATGAATCGTCGGTTTAAAGGCTGCTGCAAACTAATTAACTTTGATAAGCACGAGCCTCACCAAAACTGTGCGAGGCTGCCAAGAGTAACAGATAAGGTTACCTAGAAATATTTTACGACACAAGAGACTTCAAATACCAACTAAGATACTGCAATGTCCACAAGGCTGGAGTTTCAAAATGTCTTTGCTTCCTGCAAAAAAGTCTGATTCACAGCTGGCTTTTATCTTCTTGAAGGAGGGGCCATTACCTTGCAGCCTTGCTCCCGAGTCGCCCATGCTGTTGTAACTGTTCTTTCCCCCGAGCAATCTTTCGTGCACACGCACTTAACACAGGCTCCTCAGGAACCTCCTCATCACTGCTGCCAGCCCCCACAATCTCTGAAGGCAGCAATCCACTCCCTAATGGTCCTGGCCCCTCATCTGAGTCTTCGCTCTCCTCAGCCATCCGCACCTGCTGCCACCTAACCACAACACTATGATGGTACCTTGCGGTGTTTTTAATTTTCTCATCAGAAGAGCATGTGAATCCTACCTCTTGCAAATCAAGCTTGTCACTTAAGAAAAGGCCAATCCTGTAGACCAAGGGTGTCAAGCTCACGGCGTCACATTGTCGTCCTGTGACATAGCGTGACATTTTTCCCCTTCACTAAACCAGGCATGGGCGTGGCCATGGCATGCCGCATCCGGTCCGCGGGTCTGGAAGTTTGACAGCCCTGCTGTAGGACAACCTCCCATCTTTAAGTCTTCTCGGGGAAAGCAAATTCATATATAAGGGGTCCTTGGTGTGCTCTGAGCTTGCTTGTTTTCTTGCAGACGTTGCATTACCCTAACTAGGTAACATCATCAGTGCCAGTAAGGAGCGCTGACAATAAACCACACTCCTTGCTGGCACTGATGATATTAACTACTTAGGGTAATGAAACGTCTGCAGGAAAACAAACAAGCTCAGAGAGCACCAAGGACCCCTCAGTTCAACCCCGAGCTACAAATATTCTCCTTTATTAGTTCATAAATAGCGTGTAGAAGGTTCTGCATGAAAGTGGCTGGGGTGAGACCCCCCCCCCCCCCCCCCCAAAAAAAAAGAGCCCAGGATATTCAAGAGCAAAGGAGACAGGAAAGAGAACATGAAGGAGAGAAAAAAAGAGAAGAATGATTATCTAAAGGCCTATGGCAGGAAAGAATAAAAAAAACTTAAGACAAGGTTTATGCCCTTGGTGGGGATAAACTAGTATGAAGCTCTGAAAAATGAGCTCGCCTGAGATAATTCCCTTATCCCATACATTCTATAATAGTCCCAGAACTGGAAGAATTCTGCTAAGATTCCCCCCGCCCAAATAAAACGACCTAGAAATCTCTCTTTTGAGGAGGAAGATAAGAGTATTGAGAAGAGCTGTGGTAGCACAGTGGTTAAAATGCAGTATTGCAGGCTAACTCTGCCCACTGCCAACAGTTTGATCCTGATCGACTGGCTCAAGGTTGACTCAGCCTTCCATCCTTCCAAGGTGGGTAAAATGAGGACCCAGATTATTGGGGGGCAAGAGGCTGACTCTATAACCTGCTTCGAGAGGGCTGTGAAGCACTGTGAAGCGGCATATAAGTATTGTTAGCATTGCTATTAGCGGGAGAGATGCTGTGAGGGATAGAGCCGTTGTCTCTAGACCAGTGATGGCTAAACTTTTCGTCGTCGCGTGCCAAAAATGTGTGCCCGCGCGCACCCATAATACAATGCATGCGCCCCCCGCCCCGTTGCACATGGGCATCCCTGGTTTGCATTGCACACCTCTGCGCATGCCTGCGTGACGCCCCCCCCCCCATAGGCGTCACACACCCCCGCGCATGCAAGGCAGATACCTGACAATCAGCTGGCTGGCGGGAGATGTGCATGCGTCTGCAATGGATCTGTTCTGGGTGCTGGCTCACGTGCCAGCAAAAATGGCTCTGTGTGCCACTTCCAGCATGCATGCCATAGGTTCGCCATCATGGCTCTAGAGCAGGGGTGTCCAACCTTGGCAACTTTAAGCTGGCTGAGGAATTCTGGGAGTTGAAGTCCACAAGTCTTAAAGTTGCCAAGGTTGGACACCCCTGCTCTAGACCAAACAAGATACCACAAGAATTTGCCTGTTGTCGATAGCCGGAACCTGGGGAGTAAAGATTGCAAAAAGTTCCATCAGACTGAATGATTGCTTCTGTCCGTCAGGAGACAAATGACATTGTTGGAAGAGAGCAAATACTTCAGAGTATTCCAAGATGGAGGTGAGGGTGAAGGAGCTGGAGGCATAAAAGAGTCTTTTCTTTCATCTTCCTCACTTCATTTTTTTGAGAAGTGCTCAAAAATCCAGGAAAATAAAACTGCTTATAACAGCGTTATCAAGACAAAGATGTGTTCCTAGATGTGGTCTATATATTACCTATTACAACTGAGGATCGGGGGACAGCAGCAGAACTAAGTAGAGAAGTGCTAAGTTGTAAAGACATCACTGTATAATAAGTAAAAAGATCGTGGGATGCAAGAGGCTCAGATCAAAAGTCTGGGTGTTTGTGTCAAAAAGTCCATATAGTGCCCATAAGAATGCAGTCGAAGCACTTGTCATTTTTTACATGTATCACGCGTGCAACACGTGTAAAAAAAAGTTGCAGAACTTGATATCACTTCTTTCTTGACCCACTTGTCCATGAATGCCTCTGGTATTCATCTCTGGCCAAAAGCAACAGAACAACTAGCAGGCTGAAATTAAAAGAAAGGTGATTCACGCTGAACTCTATGAAAAGTTTCCTTGATGGTAAGAGCTACTAAGCCGTAAAATTATTTCAGCAGCGATGGGTTCCCATTGAGAGTGGAGTGATGGGTGAGGACACGTTGGGAAGGTCTTAGTGAACTTCTTCACTGAAGAAGGGTTATTAGACTACCCAGATTTCAGAGAGTAATTAGAACTGCAGAAAAACAATGGCTGCCAACCTCCCTTCCATCAAGGACCTGTATACTGCACGAGTCAAAAAGAGGCTGTGAAAATATTTACAGACCTCTCACATCCTGGACATAAACTGTTTCAACTCCTTCCCTCAAAACGACACTATAGAGCCCTGCACACCAGAACAACTAGACACAAAAACAGTTTTTTCCCGAACGCCATCACTCTGCTAAACAAATAATTCCCTCAACCCTCTTCAACTATTACAAAGTCTGCACTACTATTAATCTTCTCATAACTCTTTATCACCCATCCCCTCCCACTTGTGACTGTAGGAGTGTAACTTCGTAAGGCTTGCATCCTTACGATTTTTATTGACTATTTCCTAGAATGATTTGATTGCTTATTGTACCCTATGACTATTATGAAGTGCTGTACCTGATGATTCTTGACTCTTGATGAATGTATCTTTTCTTTTATGTACACTGAGA